GTCTGTGTTTGTCATTGACTGCTCTGTTCTTTACATTCTTCTTTGCTTTACTCCTGATTTATACTATAGTTGTAGTTAGTGCTTGCTATCGTGCCTATCTACTAGTTAAAGACTTTAGGCTTGATTTAGTTGTTTAGTAGATTCATGTTTAGTTTACATCTTTAGTAGCTTTGGTGAACGATGGTCGATTAGGATCATGTCTTTGGTCGGGGCCGGGGGCGAGCAGCAGGAATGGCAAGGGGTTAAAACTTAAGGGTTATCCTACACTGAGAGTAGGATCTTGGAACATAGCGTCTTTGACGGGGAAATACATAGAGCTAGTGAAGATTCTCAAGAAAAGGAATATTAATATTGCTCGTGTCTAGGAGACCAGATGGGTAGGTACCAAGACTCGGGATGTAAATGGGTTTAAGTTGTGGTACTCTGGAGGCTTGAGAGATATTAATGGAGTACGTATTTTAGTTGATGGGGTCCTCAGAGAGCAAGTGGGGGAGGTTAGAAGGAGCAATGACAGGATGATAATGATTAAGCTAGTCGTTGGAGGGCTTACATTAAACATTTTTAGTGCTTATGCGCCGCAAGTGGGATCGGACGAGGAGGTCAAGAAGCACTTTTGGGAGGATTTGGATGAGGTGGTGAGGGGTATATCATACACCAAGAAGATACTCACTAGCGGAGATTTCAATGGCCACATTAGGGAAACGTCTAGTGGTTTTGACGATGTGCATGGAGGCTTTGGTTTTGGGGTTAGTGACGAAGGTGGAGCCTCATCTTGGACTTTGTTAGAGCTTTTGAGTTGGTGATAGCTAATTCATGCTTTTCGAAGAAGGAGAACCACATGGTGGAATGTAGGAGTCCAACGCAAAGTGGAAGCAAAGAAGGTTGCTTATGCAAAGTTGATAAGAGTGCAAGGACGAGGGGGAAAAGAGGATGACCAAGGAAAAGTATAAGACGGCGAAAAAGGAGGCTAAGTTAGCGGTTATAGCAGCAAAGACGGCAATATTTGAATGCTTGTATGTTGAACCAGGGGACGAGGAGGAGATAAAAAATTATATAGGCTAGCGAAGGCAAGAGAGAGAAGGACCTGAGACCTAGATCAAGTGAAGTGCATTAAGAATAAGAAAGGAAAGTTGTTGGTGGAAGATATACTTATTAACAAGCTTGCTTCCATAAACTCTTGAACGAAAAAAGGGAAAGGGACACTGTGTTGGTGATTTGGAGTTGTGTAATAGGCATATAAGTGTTTAAGGTTGAGAAGGTTGAGCATGCTATTTGTAGGATGAATAGGGAAAAAGTAAAGGTCCAGATGAGATTTCGGTGGAGTTCTAGAAGAGCACAGACATGGCAAATATGGAGAGGGCACGAATAGAGTGGTAACTAGGTTGCTTAATGTCATTTTTACGACGATAAAAATGCCCAAAGAATGGAGGTGGAGTACAATGGTTCAATTGTACAACAAGGGTGATATCCAAAATCACAACAACTATAGATGTATCAAGTTGCTAAGCCACATTAGAAAAGTTTGGGAGAGGGTGGTGCAGATGAGGGTGAAAAGGGTGTGTCCGTTTTCAAGAACAAGTTCGATTTCATGCTGGGGCAATCAACTACAAAAGCAATTCATCTTGTGAGGAGACTAATGGATAAATGCAGGGAAGGAAGAGGAACTTACATATGGTGTTCGTTGACCTTCAAAAGGCCTACGATATAGTCCCGGGGGAAGTCATCTAGAGATGCTTAGAGGCTAGAGGGGTATCAATGGCATACATTAGAGTGATGAAGGACATCTATGATGGAGAAAGACTCGAGTTAGAACAGTGAAAGAAGACTCGAAGCACTTCTCAGTTGAGATGGGGTTACACCAAGAATCAACTCTTAGCAAGTTCTTATTTGCCTCGGTGATGGATGAATTGACGCAGTGTATTCAAGATGAGATGTCATGTTGTATGCTATTTGCAGATGACAATACTAATTGATATGGCACGCAATGGAGTTAATACTAGGTTGGAGTTGTAAAGACAGACCCTAGAATCTAAAGGGTTTCAGGTTGAACAGGTCCAAAATGGAATATTTGGAGTGCAAATTTAATGATGCAATGCACAAAGCAGGCGTGTAAGTGAGGTTCAACACTCAAGCTATTCCAAGAGAGAGAGTTTCAAGTATCTCATGTCTTTAATCCAAGGTAGCAATGATGTCACACATCATATTAGTGCAGCGTTGATGAAGTAGAGACTTGCCTCCGAAGTCTTGTGATAAAAAGGTACCACTTACACTTAAAGGTAAGTTCCACAAAGTGGTGGTTAGACCGACTTTGTTGTACGAGGCAGCGTTATTTTTCATTTAAGAGTTTGAAAAAATGTAAATTCTATTTTTTTTCTAATAACAACCTTTAGAGGGATTACAATAGGTCACTTGAAGGTCAGTTCCACAAAGTGGTGGTTAGACCGACTTTGTTGTACGAGGCAGAGTTATTTTACATTTAAGAGTTTGAAAAAATGTAAATTCTATTTTTTCTGCTAACAACCTTTAGAGGGATTACAATAGGTGTATCGTTGCTTAATATATGTATGCCCAATGGCATTTAATCGAGTCACAGGTGATAAATTATAAATAAATAGCATGGCATGCTTTGGACAAGCGGTGGAATAACATGAAATGTAGTTTAAAAAATTATTGAGTGTGCTTATTTATTGAATTTGATTTGAATATTTTAAAATGGAGTGTAGTCACATTTATTTGAAAATTTCATTTTTAGTGTAAAGAGAAAATATTGATAAGAGAGAGAACTTGGAAAAACTTGAGTATTAATATAGTGCTTTTTTCAAAGAATATTAATATAGATGGGAGCAAGTAAATCATCAGAAATAATTTATGTTACATTAGTTACAACAATGTACCAAGGGTGGTGTGTACGCAACCTTACCCCTACAACCCGCTCCAGTACAATTTGTACCATCATCGCCAATCTCTTCCTCTCTAGGAGTTGACTTGTGTGTCCATTCTCACTTCCATATTTGCCTCATGAGTTATACAACCCAACTCACCCTCCAAGTACTTAGTCCTAGCTCGACTCAACCTAAACCCTTTAGACTCTAGAGTTTCCAAACCTCCAACATATCATTGATTTTGTTCCGTGTCTCATCAATCAATATTATATCATATGCAATAGCATGCATCATGGCACCTCCCCTTGGATGTGTGTTATCACCAAGACAAAAATAAATGAGCTAAGAGTTGATCCCTGGTGCAACACCATCATGAATGGGAAGTGCTCCAAGTCTCCTCCCAATGTCCTCACTCGGGTCTTGGGTCTCCCAAACATGTCCTTAAACGCCCTAATGAAAGCTATAGGTACGCCTCTAGCGTCCAAACATCTTAACAGAACCCTCATAAGGACTTTGTCGTCTGTTCTTTTCTAGGTCAGTTATGTTACACTAATTGACTATAAAAATTAGATTCCCAAGTCTCTTATTTCCTTAGCTTAATAGTCAGTTAAAGATCACTTTGACAACCTTCAATTTACTTTTCATGTATAAGAATATCAGAAATTGAGTTATAAATAAAAAATAAAATGGTTATAGCAAAAAAGACAATTTAAATATTAAAAAATCAAACTTGATGTGATATTATAAATAAGATATGAATACCAATATGCTACAATTAGCTTCTTTTTTATATCGTGCAGGTACTAATACTAGCGTAAGTTACCAAAAGAAGAAAAAGCAATTGTATCAAGCAGACATGCACTATTTAGAAATTGCTTCATTGCTAGAAGGATTAGTGCCAATGTGAAATGTTCAACTTACTTGCATATGTAAAGAGGTCGTGATACATCATTAGACCCCTTTGCTAGGCGAGCTCTGCTCTCACTTTCCTCGGCAAACTTTCGTGGAGGATGTACTTCACACGGACCTTGTATCAAGCCAGCCATAACTATGCTACTATAAGTAGACAAGTAAACCTGTAAAAGGACCAGCAGTGATACATAAGATTCTACAGCATGGAACATCAATCATCTAATTGCATGCTAAATATTATATCGGTAGCAGAATAGACAAAGAAGCAGGTTGGTAAGCCATATGTCATACATTTTCTGCAAGATATTGTAGCTTTAATGAATTAATTGTAGTCGCATGCAACCCCCTGTTATGATTCAATATCTTGTTCAAGTAGTTTAATATAAATAAGTTGAATGGATTCTTGTAGGACAAAAATGCCTCGAAGCATCACTAGAGATGCATTCAAGAACAAACAACCTAAAAAGGGCTCTGATGGGCTCTCAATCAGAGTACAGGCTATAAGATAGACCTCAATAATTTCATAATTGTCTTTTAGGTGGACTCTACACCACTAAAATGCTCGTAATATTTTCCTTCCAAGTCTACTCATGCATGTGTTTGCCTCTAGGTTAATCAGTAAAAAGCAAAATTGAACAGCTAAACTGAGATTCCATTAAAAATGCATCCAGTAGATGCTGGAAGACACAAGCTGCAGCAAAAAAGAGCTAGTTCTTGAATAGTGAGACCTTCTAAATGCTTCCTAGGGGGATATAATAAAATTCAAAAGAAAATAAACAAAATTGTTTTACAGTAAGATGGTTACTCCAGCAGGCAGCAACAAATGTTTGTGAGTTAGTATCTATATTCAGGAGGTGGATTTGAGAAGAGTTTCCTTTGAAGCATCTGCTATTCCTTAGGCTGGAACAATCTGCCAGATTTTTCCAATAAACTTGGTTGGTCAGTGTTTTGGTCAATCCATGCTTTATTTTATTGTACTGAAACATGGGCAGCAAGTTTGGTTGACAAATGTTGGAGATCTTTTGGAAGTTGCTGGACAGCTTATCCTTCGAGCTGCCATCCTACTTGATTGCTAAGTAATTTCCTCTAGTAAAGGCTTATGTTATTCCAAATTACTTGGAAGAAGAATATTTCAGATATTTTAATGCGCTTCCAGTCTGCCTCTCTCTGCTCCTCTCCCTATTCTCACCTTCTTAGTTCTAAGCAGGCCTGTTGCATTACATGTTTCTCTTGAAATGGCAAACCCCTGCAAAAAGAACAACACAATGGGGTTTGAAAATGAGATAAGAATGCATTAAGGGGAACATAAAATGCAAATAACACATACGAAAGAGTACGATAGTAGAACACCGGTCCACTTGTCGATTAGTCCAAATATCACAAGCTTGAGGAATCTTGAAAGAATCACCAATGTCACTACAGATGGAAGCATGAATAGACTTGATTTTGTTAATCAATTGGGAGAATTCAAAAAGGGTCATCCCGTGAACAGCATTCCTCTTCATCTCTGAACTAAAATTCTGCCCGCCTTCTTCTTCTTCTTTGCCAGCATTAATACCCTCCTGGTAAAAAGGCTGAATCGACAAAGATTGAGCTTGTTTGAAAAAAGGGCATCGCTTAAGATGACTCTGCAGATTCTCTTCCAGCACAGAGCTATTATAAATGGGCAAATAATAAAAATTAAATTAAAGAACATAGTAAATATGGTATGTATACAAGGATGAGGAGAAAGGGGGATTACTGAGAAGGGTGGATAGGGCAAGGAACCCATTGTCCATCAGATCTTTGAGTATGGTTTCCGCAGAACCTGAAGAATTGAAATCAAAAGAAAAAGTTTCCATTGAAATGATGGCAGTAGAAACTGTAGGGCGTTATGGAGAGTTAACAAAAAGGGACTGACTGTGAATCTCGGAGAAGGACGTTTGAGCAAAATCTCTTCTTCTTGGGAAGCCAGAAGTTGCAGCGTGCCGCCATTTCCGTCCTGTTCGGCTTAAACCCTGTTGCCACACTAGATTTATTGTAGATTTACCGAAATAAGTATATCAATGGAGAATATTAGCAAACTTTTTTAACTCTAGTTCCCAATTTAACTCTCTTAGGGCCCGTTTGGCCATAGATTTCCCAAGTAAAACTTGGGAAAAAATTTGGCAAATATTGTTTGTCCATACACTTTCTCATTATTTGGCAAATTTTTTTGGCAAATAACCCAAATTCCCAAATACTAGTTTTTTCTAGTATTTGGGCCAAATCTCATTATTTGGAAAGTTTTAAAAATTCAAATTTAACACCAAACTTTTATCTTTTACAAAAACACTTTATTTATTAACACCAACCAACTCAATCAAATCTCCATTTGCTAACTAACTCAATTAATAAATTTTTCTATTATAAAGAGCATACATGTACAAGAGCATACATTGCAATATTTATTTCCTTCTGTTTTCTTCTTCTTTTTCAAATTCATATTAGTTGTATTTTCATTATCATGATTTGTACTAGTCTTTTTTAACGATGCGACTATTTACTGTAATGATGCTTTTTGATTTGTTGCGGAAGTCATGAATCTTGTTACGCGACATTTCTATTTTGCTATGTAATACAAATTTATGGTTAGTTTTGATAGTTTTAAAAACTTATGGGCATAAATCATATTTCTTAAAAAATTGAAATATATTTCCCAAATACTATGGCCAAACACATGGTGAAATTTCACCCAAATCTTCACCCAAATAATATTTGCCAAATATATTTGGAAATCTATGGCCAAACGCTAGCTTAATGTTCTGCACTTTTTCATACTTCAACAGTCTCAGAACAAAACTATTTCCCTAATTCATCACTTATCCCAAGTTCCATCAGTTTAAGCCAAGATTAAACAACCCTTTTCTCCAAGGTGTTTTCCGGGCAGGATGAGCCGATGAGGTTATGTAGGAATTAGGATATCATACCCTTTCAAATTAAACTGCATAAGAGAAATATGCATCGAATCGGGATTTCTACACAGTGAATTATGCAGATAAATATTCACTCCTAAATTCCCCTGGGCAAAATTTTTACAAAATTTCACCAGGTAAATTACACACCAAACTTTCAGAACACAAATTCAACAAGACAATATATATTAATTAAAAAAGGGCAATGTAGAGCCATAAGTGGGGAAGGAATCAGCAGAAAACATGGTTTGATATGATGGCTTGAGATGATTTTAAATGGAAAAACATGGTCAATAAGGATTCATGTAGCCGACCCCAATTTTTTGGGGACTAAGGCATAGTTGTTAAATTTATTCCAAAATGCATGATGATGACAAGAAAAGACCATACAATCATGAATTCTATCCCTAGTCATAGCAAATAAACCAAAAGACAGAACGCAAAATTAATTAGTTGTTTACCTCATTATTGTTCTCCAAGCATGGGCGGCCTACAGACTGTGGTAATTCACGTGCAAAGTAACATTGATTGATAGTAACCCACTTTGTTCCCGCTTTTTTGTCCTCCCACATGGCCTGCAGGTAAGAAGTTGAGGCTTCTCCAGATGAATCACGTGGATACATATCAAGATAGTTAGATGTGGTAGCAAAACTACCAAGGACATAATTATGTATAGCCAGTGATATTTGCTATGCTCGTAACCACTACTAGAAAAATTTTGCACAACTATTCAGAAAATAGCATTAGAAGAAACATCGCAAATAGTAAATACTAAATCTTAAGGAAAGAAAAGCACAAATTTTCACATACCCAATGACAGACTAAAAAGTTTGTATCTTTATACTCCTTCCTTCCATTATATATGACATATGACTCGACACGGCCTTTAAAATGTCAGGGATATTTCCCCCAGGGCTATGTCCAGTGGTAACAGTGCAACTTGGGATGTGATGGTTAGACACACATCACGGGCTTGAGTCTTGTCTCAGACAAAAGTCTGGTATTTAAGTGGAGAGGTGGGGCCATTACCACACCTAATTTCGAACCGTATGCACGAACTCCCAGGGAATTATTGGTTATCCCAAATAAAAAGATTGCATATGACTTATATGCAATAATATTAGTAATAATAGAAGAAAATAATAACATGATGATTAAAAAGATTGTTTGACAATAGCGGTCGGCCTCTCGAATGCCTTCTTTCTTTCTTTTTTGAGCTCTTTACAACAAATATCAGATCAATAAGTAAAACTTGAATAGTTAAATAAACTTGAATTCTTAAATGTTGTTAAAAAATTATAAAATAGTATAAATTAGTGGAATGGTGTCAGAAACGTCCCAAAAAGAAGAGTCGCGATAATTGGAATGGAATTAGTAAAAAATATCTTGAATTTCAACAGGTGTAATGCAAGGACTTGGAGGTGAAACATGTTACATGTTAACTGGCAAGCAAATGCCAAACCTGTAAAAGTCAATGACATAGCTGAATGGGTGATATCAGAATGCAACAGGAAATGATCTCAGTATTGAACTTAGTTCACAAACAATTCAAAGTGATTATAATTCCAATAAATGCTAATGTCAGTACAACTAATGCTCAATATTTCATTGGAAAAACAACCTTATCGTTGACCGTACACCAAGACATTGGCAATAGGCTCAGTAGTTTTAACTTGAATCAGCCAAAACATTGTAAACACTGCTACGAAAACAATTAAATAACTCTTATCCCCAAAAAAACAAGGAAATCAAAATCTATTCATTTTTGGAAAAAGAGGTCAAACTCTAATGAATTGAAGTCTTACCAGAAGCTTTGAAGGAATCAATCTCTCATTCTCAAAACGGATAAGAGCATAGTCCTGAACACTATATATGAATCCATTAATGCGGCAAGATTGATAATAATACTTGTCATCTGCAACTTGAAGAACGTTTCCAATCCAGTCAACATTTTGAAAATGATCAGATGATGAGCTACTACACTCAGTATCCTCATTGGTCGCTACAGCAGTTTCAGCCGGATATATTTTTTCAACAGCTTGCTCTTCGTTTTTAGATTCATTACTTGAACTGTTACCTACATTTGATCTACTGACCATGGGCTGAGTTTCACGAAACTGCTTTGATGGCATCGCAGCAGTGTTTTCCACCTCTTCATGGTCACTTGTTTGCAGGTGATTAAGAGTTTGAGAGGGATCAGATGAATGGCAAACTGTTTCAGGATGAGCCTGAGGTTTCAACTCAACCACTTTTTCTTCACAAGATGTATTAACTGGTGAACCAGCAGATGTAGAAAGATACTGATCATTGGAAGATACAGTCAGATTATTTGAACAAGATCTCATGGAATCTTTACTCTCCATATTTTCTTTACCCGACACAATAATATTTCCTCCCATTTCTTTTTCATTTTCCATCATTGGCTCAGATTTTAGATTCCTATCATTATTTTCCATAGTAACGAGAGGAGAGTTCTTCAGAGGAACCTTTCCATTCGCTACAAACTTCTGTAGAATAACCTTCTCATATATACCAGAAGCTTTTTTATCCGGTGATGATTGAACAGCTGATGCAATTGTAGATATTCTAGGGGCATTAAAATTCCTCATTACACGACCATATTTAGGAGGCGGGGGTTTTCCATTGGTCATCGACAAGCACTTTCCACAATGCCATTCCCCTCTAGGAGCTCCTTTTTGATTTGTCATCTGGAGACATTTCAAGTGATACCCTTTCTCACAAGCATCACAAACAAGAACATTATCAACCTCATTTACCGTTGACTTGCACATTTGGCAAGTCAAAGCCTTACTAATATAATCGCGAGACGGCGGAGTCCAAGCAGGCCGCTCAGAGAGGCGCGGTTGAATAAACTTCTGAACAATCTTGCCAATTTCAGCATGAGTACTGCTAAGAGGAGGAGACTTGACAAAGCTTGCCCCTTGTAAGTGTGGGTGTGTAGTTGGTAGATTTCCAGCTGTGGTCTGAGTGATAAATGGCCTAGATGCTGTCATTTGCGATTTGGCATCAGTTCCTCCCTCAACTTTGTTACCTGTCTGTGCTGTCACCCTGGTATCTGGTCCACGTTTAGCTGCTGCAACTGATGCAGGTTGCACCGACCAGGTTGGAGTTCTTATAGCTGAATGATCTCCAGAAGTTGCTATAAAAAAACAATATACTTGTGATGGTTCAGGCCAAAATTAAGAATAAAAAGCTCAAAATCCAACAAAACACTTGAAGGAAATACAAACATAGCGAGATCAGAATACTAATATTCTTTATATGCACCTAACTACAAGGAAACGTGACAAGAATTAGTAGATGAATTAAAAGTAGAATGAAGTGGCTCCCTAAAATAATACTAAAATGGTGATGATATTTGGAATCAAATACTAGAATGAGAAGATAAGGATGCAAATCGGTAAGCATGCTAAAAAAGTAATCATGTAGCATGCCCTTTTTAACTTGATTGACACATGGTGCATGAATCAGACCAAGTAAAGCAATTGTCCACCACATGCTACATCCATATTTATATCCATGATTTGGATAAGAGATCCCCCATATGGGAAGTCAAAAAACAAATCTAGGACAAATCCTTAAGCACTTTTGGCAGTTAGGAGAAATGTATTGTTGTTACCTTGAACTTGCAACATATGGGAAGATCCATTTGGTCGTCCATCCATTCTGAAACTCGGCCTGTCAACTCTGGGCAATGCAACTAGAGAAGAATCCCTTACTGGATTACCAGAGACCACTCCACTAGAAATTACTGGTCTGACCTCACTGGTAGGCAGCTGATAAGGTAATGGTGCAGAACTTGCCGGAGTTCCATGAACCAAAGGCGAAGCAGATTGGAAGCTTCCTGAGGGATTTACCACATGACTTGCTTTATTGTGAGGAAACATACGAACATGTGATGGACCACGGTTTTCAATTGTTGCAGCCATATTAGATTGAGGCCGTTGAGATGAATATGTAGCAGCGGGTACAGAAAATTCCTCAGTTTTTTCCAACTAAAAGCACAAGGGGAAAGACAAAGTAGACCTCGATAAGATGTATAAGCCACAACTCAATGAAATCAATTTCAAATTGGTTATATTG